ATTTTTCCCCCCTTTTAACACTGTAAATCCTTCACTCCTTTCTCTTTTTTTGCTTGCATTATTTCTGGTGAAAATTCCACCGTGATTCTTATTCTTATTCTTCTGTAAGTAAAGTGTTTTTTCCTTTCACATCTTTCAGGATTTTCTCATTGTCTCCTGTTTCTTGAAATTTGAAAATGATATGTCTAAGTGTGTGTGTGTGTGTGTGTGTGTGTGTGTGTGCGCACATGTGTGCCTCCTTTTTGTTAAATGCTAGCAACAGAACATTCTGGATTACAGATGCTGCTCTGACCTTGACAAGGGGAAAGAGTCTACAAGCATCACAGGCTTCAAAAGACTGAGAAAAGTACCGTATTCTAGTTTATTGGAATCCCTGAAAAGCCTACCTGAGTGTGCAGGCCACTGTTCAAAGTAACCACCCCTAACCTTCAATAGTCATGCAAATTATGAAATCAGAGATTAACCTAAGAAGAGAGTTTTGTAAAAATAGGTCATCTAAAATCAAAATGCTTAAAAGGAGAAAGTAGACTCAATTTTCTATAACATGAGCTTTTCATAGTTTGATCAAACAAGTAAGATTCCATTTTCCCACTTTTCACTTTTAAACACCTGTATTAAAGCATATTAAACAAACAGAAATGTGCATGAATCAAAAATAAGCATATCAATAAAACAGCTGGAAGTGATCGCAACCCAGGTCAAGAATAGAGTATTACCAGCAGCCCAAATATGGTCCACCTATTTGCTTTAAAATATAAATATTTTCCCATGACACTTACTGAATACGGGGTGGGACAAAAGTAGGTTTAGATTGCTCTTATGGAGAATATAATTAATACATACTAATAGAAGGCTAAGCTTTGTTTTTTGTATATTCACAACTGTAAACCCACTTTGTCCCACACTGTATGCATTAATAAAAAGAACCAGCTCTAGTTGGTTTGGCTTAGTGGATAGAGCTTCGGACTGCAGAAGGGTCCTGGGTTCAATTCCAGCAAAGAGCACATACCTCAGTTGCAGATTTGATCCCTGGCCCTATAGGGACGCGTTGGAGAAGCAACCAATCAATGTGTTTCTCTCATATTGATGTTTCTCTCTCTCTGACTCTCCTCTCTCCACTGAGAAAAATATCCTCAATGAGGATTAACAAAAACATTTTTTGAAGAAAAAGAACCACTAGTTTCTAAAGGGAAACAAAAATAAAAAGAACACTGTGCAATGAGGCATTATGTATATGTATATGTATGTGTATATGTATGTGTATATGTATATGTATATGTATATGTATATGTATATGTATATGTGTATCTATAGCTATAAACTTATAGCTATCTATATTTATAACTAGAGAGAACATATATGCAAATATGTATATATGAATACAATGTATAAATAGGGAAATTCAATATAATCAAGTTGTTAGCTCTCCTAAAATAATTTATCAGTTCAGTGATAGCTAGTCAAAATTTTTTATCCAAGGACAGTTTCATACAGATGTCCACTAACTTAAAGTTATGTGTTTATTTAAATTTTTAAAAATTAAATAATTAAATTTTAATTGGAGAGTTGTACTTGCATTTTTAAATTAAAATAATGTGATTTGAAGGGTTAATAATCTGATTTAATCACAAGGATTGAAAATCCACATCAACTTTTTTTCTGCTATAACCAAAAAAATGTGAAATTTAAACTCATGTGATCTTATTGTCTCATGCTCCATTATTTACATCAGTAGCATATTTACATATTTCCCCATGTTAAAAATTACATAACTCCTCCATAGTCTCATCTTTATCAATGTTATCACTCTTGTAAATGTTTTAAATGTAAAGAATCCTAAGAATGTTTTAGTTTTCTATTTATGTTTACATTCAGCTTACATAAGTTATTTAATTGATAATTGATCATTTCTGTGACCAAATAAATATTTTTTAAAAATATAAACTTTCCCTTAACTACAGGCAACTGGATACTGAGAAATACCCTACCTGAATTAGAGATCCAATATTTAAGAGTACATAGATTTCCAAACATCTTACTATTGTTTATATGTAAAATTTCATGATACCACTCTTTCACCTGATTGTACAACTGATGTGGCTGGATCAATAAACTCTTACATACTTTTTATATTTTGCAAGAATTGTGAAATGCTCATCTGTGATTTACTCATGCACCAGAATTTAGAGGAAGAGCTATGCATGCATTCTCTTTAGAAAGTTCTGTCAAGTTACACATTTTTTAGCATATTATATATACAATCAAAATAACATAATCAAGCTGTGTAAAAACTTAAATTTGAAAACAGGAAATATATTTAGAGTAGGAAGACTTGGTTTAAAAAGTAATTAGGTGTTTATAGTAATTTCATTTGCTCTAGGAGCACATCAGAAAAAACATTTATCACTTTTATTCCCATAATGCTGGAAATAGACTGAAAATTAAATTTCTTAGTGAGACCAATCATACATATTTTTATTATAGGTTTGCATAACTTAAGGTGTATGCTTTATGTTTGGTTGTATTTGGTGCATACTCTCTTGAAAAAAAATATAATAGAAACACAATCATAACGTCAGAAGGAATACACACACTTAACTCCTTGGACTATTGTGAGCCATCTGTTTATGTTCATTTATAAAAGGAAAATAAACATATTTGTCAAGAATCCCATGCGAAAGAGATTCAATATTGATATTTTATATTATCCTTGAGATTCTGTGAAAGAGCTAAACTGCATTGCCTTTTCTTGTTCAAATAGTCTAATCTGTGCTCATCCACATTCTAAAAGTGGCCTTCCATATCAGAGAGACACAGGAACTGAGGCACGTCTCCCGGAAGATTGGTGTCTCACTTCTCCCAGATACGCAACCTGCACCTAAAGAAACCAATTGTGTATGTACCAGTATAATAGAAACAGGTTTGACCTACATTTTTCTTTCCCAAGGGTGAGCTTTGCAGTGACAGATATGACTGCAACCAATTGACTAGAATGACATATAACACAAGACACCGTGACATCTCTTAAGATAGACCGAGAACGATGTTTAACTGCAATCTTCCGCGGTTTTGTAGACAGACAAGAAGCAGAGAAAAATGGCTCTTTAAGGGGACCAGTTGACTTTTATAGCTCAGAATTGATTTTGGTCACAGCAGTTGCCCCGTTTTTATATCTTAAAAGGGCCTAGCTCCATAGGACAAAGAGAAGGAAGCAGATAGAGTCACAACTTACTAAGACAACACCGTGATGCCAGCAGGAGATCAGAAGTAAGCAAGGCCCATTCATTGTTTTAAAAATTTTAAATTTATAAAGCTCTTACTTATAAAAGGCATTTTATTAATATAACAAAATGACTTGTCTTTTCATTAATTTAATAATGTCTTTTAAAGTCATTTTATATTGGACTAGTAGTAAAGGTGCCCAGGGCTTGAATGGCCTGTTCAATGTCATTTTTTTCATAAGCCCAGTTACTTTTCACATATAATTTTGCAGAATAAGAGGCCATCAATAACATTTGTGTCACAATATTCATGGATTTCCAGAAATTGGTCATTGATAATATGTGCGCAAATTTGTACATAGATTAGATCTGTGGTCCCATGATTGGTACTGATTGGCATTACTCCTTTCCATAAGAGCAATAATTTCTGCCTCTGGATATGTTATCATATATACATTGAAGTAATAGACACAAAGGTATTTCACTGAGTAATAATTTATACTTCTATGTGTTGATTTTTATAAATAAGAATATGGTCATCTCTTTGCATACATTCCAGCAAATTCCTAAGATATTTGTTTCCATAACCCTAGGATGACTTTTTTTTTAACTTTATATTTACTGTTGACACTATTACAGATGTTTCCCATGTCCCAGACTTCTGTAAAAAAGTGTCAGAAACTAAAGATAAATTTAGCATAGAGAAAACAGAGAATGTTCATGAAAAGTTATTAAATAGAAAATGAATTGTGTTTTTACCACATTGATTTTGGAATTATTAGCAAAAGAAAATAAATAAGACCCATGCATAAAAATTAGAGGGAAACCAGTTTTTTAAATTGACCCATTTTAATTTTTTAAAAATAAAAAAAAGACACAACATCAAATTATGTCTTGCTATCTACAATTCAGTTATATCCAAACATCTAAGACCAATCAGAATCCTCTGCCCAGAAGCAGGGAATTGAAATGAGACACATGAAGGTGAACCCTGAAGTTCAATGTTCCAGCCAAAGTTACAAGTCTTCCATCCAAACACACTCCAATACTTTTTGTTTCAGTCTGTTACAGTGTTTTATAGGAAGTTCTTAAAATAATTTCATCCCAGACACAAGATTTCTTCAATGATACACAGCTTCGTGACATTTGTTTCTATCCCATAGAAAAACAAAGTAATTTTTATTTTTGTCTCTTTTTTGGTAGCATAAAGAAGCAAAACTATTAGCCAGATTCCTTTAGTAATCAATGAGGGAGAGGTAAGAAGAGACCTGGGCAGAGTCACCTGCTGGATTCCACTTCTCTTTCTGAGGGTGTGACTTCAGAAGTGTTAAATCATACTTACACCACTACAATGATTAGTACTAGTAATCTTTCTTTAGAAGATAAAAAGGAAAGTACCTAATGGACATAAAAATGGGCAAAAGATTCTTCCCACAGTTTAATGACTCCCATCCAAAAAATAATACAAAATGAGCATTTAATTGGGATGGTAACTCCATTGGATATTCCAATTCACCCCTTTGCTTGCTCTCCATAGCAGTAAGGGAACAGGCATTAAGTTTTATTAGTAACGTTATAGTAACCAGATGTGTCAATGGCAATTTATTTGAGGTCCATCTATCAAAGCATGGCTATTGCTTTCTGACTGCCCACATCTGAACACATTCAGCTACTATGGGAACTACAAAAGGAGGGGGGAAAATATATTTATCCCAAGATATGTTTCCTGGGATTTTTAAGAGCCCCATCTTCTGTGAGCTCCAGAATTGGGATAATGTGCTAGGGGCAGCTGTGTTTCCCAGCATGAGCTCCCATTCTCTGAGGGTCCTGAGAAGAATAGTGGATTGGTCCTGGAGCCTTCGTGACAGGAGGAGGTGGTCCCATTGGGTGGAGCATATATGGCCTAAAACCTGCGGGTGGTAGCAGGGTGATGTTCACCACAGCAGAGGGCCATTGAGAGGGGGTGAGGGGGGCAGGTTGAATTATTTGGCAGACGTTTCTGAAGGAGGAGGAGGAAGAGCTAGTGCAGGCCTGGAATGGGCTCCAGCTTGATGCCAGAGTCTGTGGTTCCATCCTCTTTTCCTTTCCCTTGGGCTGCTTGGGACCTTCCCCATTTCACATTAAGCCAACGGCCACTGACAATCAGCTTATTAAAAAACTTCTCTGCAGCTTGCCTTGTGGCACACTGGATGAAAGCACACTGCTCTCTGCACCACGGTGATTGTCCAAATCTCCCCAAACTGGTAGATGTGATCTCTTAGATCTGTCTCCATAATGGTATCGCCCAGACCACCAACATAGGGTGGTGATAGTCTTGTCCTGTGGCAGGTCCAGGACGAGGAGCTGATTCCATAATATCGATCTTCAATGTTCTGATCAGCAAGAAGGTCTTCTGGATCTGGGCTTCTCGTGTCTGTATGGACACCCTTCTCCTCTCTTACGTTCTCCTTTTACCGAGAAGGAGCAAATGTGGGGTGGAATCCTTCTGTAGAAGGGTGTGGTCCGGGCCGGTTATAGCAGCATGTCCCTGGTGGCTGTGGCCTTCCCCACCATGCCAACTGGCCGTGTTCCATCAGAGTTAGACATCTCATTCACCTTATTTTGTGTGCAGTACTCTGCTGACATCCAACTTTGGCATGTCATCCTTAGAAGACAATCCTGTGTCATAAACCTGGACGGGCAGACCATACTCTAGAACAGTGGTCCCCAAGGTGGGGCATATGCCCCACAGGGGGGCAATTTGGGTTTTAAGGGGACAGGCAGGGAATTTGGTTTTTAAGGGGAGCAATTCGAGAAAGAGTAATTGACAGTGAATTCTTTGCATTTTTTATGGTTCTAGGGGCCTCATATACAGTATATAAATATACATTGTGACATATTTATGCATTTCACTTCTCTATTATATGTTTTGAAACTTTATTTGTTATTTTTTTTCATATCACTTCATATTATTACTTACTTATTTATTTATTTATTTTAAAACAATTTCTTAGTGAATTCTTCCTCAGGACTTCAACTGCATTTTTGTTCTTTTATTTTTCTTTCATGGATGTCATATTCTTTGGAAGCTTGTTTAGACCAAGTTAATGGCATTTTAGGCTTCCTCCATCTGAATAGGAGTTCACTTTTTGGATAATAAGAAGTATATGTCACGGAGGAGTGGGCATCAGAATTTTAGAGATGCTTAAGTGGGGCATGGTCAAAAAAAAGGTTGGGAATCACTGCTCTGATCTAAGAGGCAGGTCTGACAGATATTCTTCAATTTACAACAGGTTTGACACCCTTTAGTCTTCTTGAAACACATGCGGGCTCTGGGGCACCAGCAAAACACTGAATGGCCTGGCACAGATTTTGTATTTCTTCTGGTACTTTTCTTTGGTGATTCGGCTACTAGTATATGGGTTTTCTCCAAGACACATCTGGCACAGAATGGGGAAATGTACATCTTCCCAGTTCTGCCTCTTGTAGGTGTTGGAACCCACAGAAGTTGTCATCTTGAGAGCATCCAGAGGCAGCAGCTGCCTCTGAGTTCGAAGAGAGGAAAGCCAAACTCAGGAAACCAATTTTTACTCAATAGAAAGATGACAGGAGATCTTGTCCTCAAAGCTACCAAAGATGGACTCTGCAGTGTTAGGGGCAGTGGGAAGTCAGTGACAGAGTTTGGGGTCATATAAATGCATTTTAAGTTTCTTTTCAGAATTTAGATTGTGTGAATCAGTGACTAAAAACATCCCTCATTTTGGTAAACCACCATTTTTAAAATAATCATTTGTCAAATAAATGTCTAAGACAAACTTATTCAGTCACTGACTTACATTTTATATTGGTGTCACATGGTACTGGTATAATTGTCCCCAATGCCACAAGTCAAGAAATTTTACTAAAGACAAATGAAGGCAATACCAAATCTCATTAGATGCTGAACACCATTATAAATTATCGCTGTTGTAGGTATTTAAAGCTATACCTCCTAAACAGGTAATTTATTTTTCTGTTTATGTATTTAAGATGAGTTCCTACAGCATCACCTGTATACTGTGCTTCTTTTTTGAATACTGTTTTATTTGTGTAAAATAGTGTGACTTTAAAAAATACATATATATGTAATAAAGATATATTAAAATGTCCTAAAATTAAGTAAAATTCACAAGTTTTTTTCTTTAAAAAGTGTTATTTATAACATCATGTCCTTAAATCAGCAATGTAACCTAATAATAGAGTAATATGCAAATTAACCACCACTCTGCTGCATAAGCTACGCCCATCACCCAATCAGAGCGAGTATGCAAATTAACTCAACCAAGATGGTGGTTAATTTGCATATCAAGACAGCTTGGAAAGAAGCCAAGCCTGCAGAAGGGAGCGAAGCTACAGAGAAGCAAGAGGGGCTGCGGAGAAGGGAGGAAAGCAGGTGGGGCAGGGAGAAGGGACAGAAGCAGGCAGGGCAGAGACTGCACCAGGAAGTTCTATTGCAGGAATCTTCCTGCAACAGACTACTAGTGTATTATAAGTTGAATGTTTTATAAAATTTGAATGAAACAGATCTTAATAATAATCAAAATATACATTCCTTTGTCAAAAGATCTAATACCTAACATATCTGGAGATACTATAAAAGATTTTGCACTTTATTCATATATAGACATACACACAAGCACACATACACAATTTTGGAAACATTTAAGCAAGCAAAGTAAGTGTGAAAGAAATTAAAACAGTTTATCATTTTGGAAGGCTTATTTAGCATATTTTTCAAAATTACACAATACACATTCCTAAACACAAACATGACATGTATGTGATTGCCCCTTGTCACATCTCTGCTATGACACGTGGCGTGGCAAACACAATTTTGCTGCCATATCTGAACAGGATTCTACATATTAGTAAACACACCAAGAAGATATGGTGCTCATTTTTGTAAGAAAGCAGAAAGGTCTATTATCTCTTATTTATACATTAACAACTTAATAAAAAATATATTATATTATAAAGTTCCTGTGAGTCACAAACTTTAACTCCTACAAAGGAAAGTACATAAATATTGACTGCATGAAGAGAATACACTCTGAAGGAGCAATGCTTTCTTGGGCAACCCCTGAGAATATATTGCATTTCACAGTGTTCCCAGGGCTCTGTGATATTACTTAGATTGTGACAGGCTTATATTCCTGGAAGCTTCTATTTGTTTTCTTCACTATTAGATTATAAGGTTTTCAAGATGAGAAAATAAAATATTAAGTTTTGAGTCTCTACAGTCACTGGAGCAATCTTCTTAGATAATAGTTGATCAATAAATATTAATTGAATTGCATTTTACCATGCCTTTAATTCACCTTTCAATGTATTAAATATTCTTATTCTTCTTTTTATTTTTTGCATTTTAAATTGGCAAAACACATTTGGCAGGCCAAAAGCATCTTTAATAAAATAATTTTAATATGCCTTTCTAACCCTGGAGAATCTTTTAATAAAGAGATTAAAAGTGGTGAATTTGTATGCAATACACTCAAGGGGACAATGTGTGACCCATGTGATGAAGAGAAGCATTTTATTGCAGTGCATTGGGCGCTGGACACTAATTACAGCAGTTAGAACATTTTCTTAGCATTATCCATTCATGAGAAAGTCACATACACAGGGGGCAGATTTGAAAATACCCTTTAAAATAAAAAAGAGCAGGAAACATTTAAGTGGAAACATATATTAGAAGTTAAGAATCTTCTCTTAATTTCTTTTGTATTCATTAGAGTTACATCACTGCCAGTTTCTCCTCTGACTTGGACACTGCTGTAGAAACACAGAAAACATGTGTTTATATATAGACAACACATAGGTATTGGAAACCTTGAAAGCTATAGTAATTTACATATGAACTTTCTGTAAGATGAAGTGCCAGAAGCCAATTCCAGCATGTCATAATTGCAAGAGTTTCATCAAAAGGTTGAGTCACATATGTTATAGCCTGCTGGAATGGCTAAAGGCATTTCCCCAAACCTGAAAAGGATGATTGTTTACTGCCAGACAGTTCAGGGCATCTTAATCTACAAGTTATTGCCTTCCTGCTGGCCAAATACCTGAACAGCCATAGGCTATTCCCCATTCTGGCAATGGACTCTGTAGACAAAACCCTACTCTTTGAAGTGTATATCTCCACCTTGTCTTAGGACAATTTGTGTTAATAAAAAGCAAGAGGTCCTGAGACAAGGGGACCTTAGCTCCTTTAGCTAAGCTCCTCTGACCCTCAATGCCTTTCAAAATTATGTTTCATCACTGTACTCTTACTTCAGTTATAAACAGCCTTTTCCCAGATTGCTAAACTCTTCTTAATGCCAGAACAAGAACCTTGGCAAGGAAACCTAGTATTATCTTGCCACTCTAGGATATTTCCTTTCATTGTGAACAATTGCAGTTGTGACCATTTTCCTTCCATATAGTGCATGGATTTATGAAATGTGTCCCAGTTTTAGAAGGTCATTTTATAGTGGCCATAAAAATTAGAGTGGTCTCAAGTTAACAGATCCAAATGAACAGAATATATCAGTTAAAAATCAGAATGCAATCTTAAAATAAATGTCACTTATAATCTCCCCTGCTTGTAAAAGAAAGCTGTGCTGATAGTTCCATTTATTGCCTTTTAAATCAGTTGTTGATCCGGGAATAAACCAAAAAAGGGAGAGAGGGCTTTCTGGCACAGAGGGGTTTCTCCCACAGCTGACAAATACAGAGAAATGAAAAATGGCCTGGAAGGTCCCATAACACACAACCCCAAGTGTCATTGAGAACATCCTCAGAGGCTAAGACAAGTTACTACAAATTCAATAATTTAGTAAATATTTCTAACTAGGGAAGACTCAATATATAAAATAAAGACGTTCTATTCTGGGGGTGGGGTGGTTAAGTTTTCTTTTAAATGGTGGAAGAATATAAAAACAAAAGAGAGAGAGAGAGAGAGGAGACTCTATTTTTGACATTTGCTTTCCAAAATATAATGTCCTAAGGGGAATGGAGAGACATAAGCAGAATCTATGAGAATAAGAGTTTCCACTCACTTCCCAGATCAGAGGGAAGAACAAGATTCCCTGATGCTCTGGGAAAGAGGGAATAGAGGTGGAGAAATGGACCAGGGGCTCTGTTTCAGTTTCCTCTGACACAATTCCAGTCAAGTCCTGTGCCAAAACCAGACACACGATGATGGTACTTCAAGAAGACACTAGGTAGCAAATAGCTACACAGTGAGCCCAACCATGACCTCAGAGCTGGATCCATGCATTGCTTGGAGACAAAGTCACAGTGATTCCAATTCTCCAAGCCTGGGGTACAGGAGCAAGGGCAGCCAGAGGGAAGCATGTCAGTGGTGATGCACCGTTTTGTGCCCGTCTTTGTGGATCACTTATCAAAGATCAGGGCATCCAGACTAGCAATCATTTGAGGAAAACGAGCATGACTTTCTCCCAGCATGCCCTGGAATCACGTGTTCCTTCTAAAACTCAAATGCCGCCTTAGGAATAGTTGATAGTATAGTAGGGTTACTAGGAACTAATATTTAGTCGTGCCTGTGCATCTGATTTTAAAAAAGCAAAACATTGAAATTAAGTAGAAGAAACTAGATGAAAGACAGAGTTCTTAAGTGTTTAAGATGTGGATAGAGAGTGCTCCATAGACACGGTCCTGGGCACTGGGGATAAAGGCAACCAGATGGTTGACAGATGGCAAGGGAGACAAATATTCACCCATAATTGAAGAACATATATGAAAATAAAAGTTAAGTGTTCTGTAACTCATTATAGCAGATGCTTTGTTTTGTGTGTTTGTTGGAATTTGTATTGGGACCAGAGGGAATATCTCTGAAAATATTAAATTTTATTGAGACATGAATAATGAACATGTGACATTCAGATAAATATAAGAAAGTAAAGGATTTTAAGAAGAGGAACACACACACACACACACACACACACACACACAGAGTAAAAAATTCTAAGAAGGAGAACACACATTCAGATAAATATAGAAAAGTGAAGCATTCTAAGAAGGGGAACATACTCACACACACACACACACACACACACACACACGCATGCACGCACGCACGCACACACAGATCAGTTTCTGATGTGGAAATTGATGCTTGGAAGCCTTGGAAGACGGTGACTAATTCAGATTTTCAACCATGCTGAGGGGAAGGTGGTACCCTAGCCCCCACATTTCTCAAGGGTCAACTATATTTTTATTATGTACCACTTCCAGAGAGGAAAATCGCCTTCCCACATTAGACAAAACCCCTTAAGCTCTTAAGGTTCAATACCACTTTGGTCCCAAAGGTTCCCAGCAAAGGTAAGCCGGGGGAGATGCCTTCAGAGAAGATACCCACTTCCTTCCATGAAGGAAAGAGAAAATGAGCTGAAGCAAGATTCCTTATGAATAAGCATTTTATCATCGCAAAGTCTTCTAAATATAACATAATTATTTGAATCACCTTAAATGATTTTTT